TGTGTGTGTGTGTGCGCGTCTTTGCACCAAGGTTTGTAGGTGTTGGCGTATTCATAGCTAAAACAAACAGCTATTCCAATGCAAATATTCCAGGTTACCACCAAGCAGACAGTTACAGTACATAACACTAACAGTGACCGCAGGACTGGTTAGCCAGTGAGAAGCTCTTACTAATGCTACAGAGGAAGGTCCTTCAATCCATCCATCCATCTTCTTACTGCTTATGCAGTACTGAGCACAAGTCATGCTTCAGAAATGTAAACACTGGTACCAAGCTAAAATAATCAAAATAATTAAATATTAATGGAAAATAAACAAGACTGAACAAGACTGAGCGCTTTCACAAACCATTATTCATAACAAATATAAGTAACGTTCTCCGACTTTGTCAGCAGTCCGTCAGAAGCGCCGTGCTTTGAGACCCAGTAAAACACAGCGCTGACCCCCACACCCTGCTTCTAACAGTGCAAATGCAAATGCCCTAGAAACATAGCTTCATGGTGACAGGATGTAAGGAGGCATATTCTGTGTTAATAACACATAAGCCTCAGTCAACACATCCCATATACGCCATTCTGCTGTTAGAGGCGAAGGCCGCAAAGCCCCTCTGATTCAGTCAGCTGTTACTGCGAACGGAGATCAGCGGTCGCTGCGTCTTCAGGGGGAAGACTCGTCCACTTGCCAGAAACATTTTAGTGCGGATAAAAGCCGCTCAGCCTGTCAGTCCCACAAATCGCGAGCATCTTTTAGAATAACTTAGTCAAACACACAGTCAGCTTAGTTAACATCCGGTACTATTATTCCTACTGCAGCATTATAATGCAGTTATAACGCAGTTAAAGTATAGTAACTGATTGATTCATTCCAGCACAATAAACTGGGCTGCAAGTACTGACTTGAAAACAACACTCCCTTATGACTCAATAAATATGACTCAGCAGAAAGACTGAACCAATCATTGTGGTGGATGAAAACATACATACAGTACATTAGGGAGGGATATATACCCCACAGAGCAGAATCACATGGGCCTGACAGATCAGAGTTAGCTAGCGCTTTCACCTGCTGCCGCACTGCGCTCTCCGTGGCCTGAATGCGCTCTTCCATCTCCTCCTCCATCTCGCTGAGCTGCATGGTGGCTTTGTCTTGAGCTCTGGCGAGCACGCAAACACGTTTTGCTCATTATGTGTTTTGTGCACTTTTTAAATTGTGTATTTCAAATTATTGCAGTCATGTACACAGCTGTGACATCAGAAGTGTCAGGTTTTCCTGTGTACTCAAATGCCTCATGACAAACTGGGTTTACTGGGTTCTCCCATCCTGGGATTACGGTGCCCTGCAGTCTACGCTCCCAGGATAAGGTGATGTGCATGCCTACCTTTTGACCGCCAAGGCCAGATTTTCCATCTCCGAGTTCTGCAGTTTGATCTCCCTAATGAAGTTGATGATGACCCGTTCATACTGAGGCAGCATCCTGGGCTCGATCAGGTGAATGTTCTGGTACAGGATGGCGGCCTGTTCATCCCTGCAACACAACAACATGAATCACATTAAATTCAGCCTTAAAAGGAGACTTGTAGTTCATCACCTGGCTTACTCTGTCATCTAACTTGCTAATGTATCTGAACTATTCCCAGGGAGAAGCACTGATCAATGATGCACCCATCAACAGCTGCATCTTTTACATTCAGCACGTCATTCACTACTGCAAATACTGTGAGGAATTTGTCCAGAAATTACAGCACTGGGACAATTAGGTCAAGCTATGGTAAACAGGCAAAGCAAACATGCCAACAACCAACTCAACTGTCAAACATTTTTGAGAATTCCCTGTAACACCTGTAACTATAATATTTATATAATAATCACAAAACAGAAAAAAGTAACAAGCCTTTGACTTCATGATTCATTTAACAGGCTGAAGTTTCCTGTATCTTTTCTTGTATTACTATCATGTTATGAAGTATTATCTATTTGTTTAGTGGCTGTTATAGTTTTTTATAAAGCTGCCTCACCACTTAAAAGTATTGACATGTTGAGTTTTAAAGTATACAAATAGCTCAAGCCAGTATTAGCTACTGTTTCAACTGTAGCGAAGCTGGTGTATTCAGCTTTATCACCATGACAACCGTCTAAATAGTAAAGCCTCAAAAAGGGAATTTAAGTTATTTTACCAGGCGGGGTGTGACTTTAACCACAGGTCTATCTGTAGGTGAAGATGACAGCTTTGCAAAATGACTGAAGAGTTTAACTGACTGTTATACTCATCTTACCACGAAAAGGCAGACAAGCCCGTACTGGAGGAATATTACAGAACAACAATAATACAAATAATAACTGTAATAACTGATAAGAGCGGCAAAGTGACTCAGTAGGTAGATGTTCCAATCCAGTCATTTTTAAATGACTCTATATTCACAGACCACTACCCTCTCCAGTCATTAGACTGTTTTGTCAAACTGCAGCCTCCACCCCCGTACACCACAACCATGACCTACATAAGCGGTTAAAAGATGAATGGATGGATGGATGGATGGATGGATGTGTGTGGAGATGAATGCAGGATCTTTGTAAACAGTCAGGCAGTATAATATTTTCAGAGAAACGTTCCACTAAAATGCAGACCGCCTCCGAGATCATTGTTTTTCATGTCATTTTTAACTTAGCAGGCATGTTCACCCAACAATACAGCTCATTAATAGGCCATTTAATTAATAGGCCATTTATAGTAATTAATATTTATCCTGAAGAAAGGGATGTAGACCTGGAGAAGCAAATTGATTTTTTTCCTGAGATCCAAATTCCATCAGTGACACAAAGACAAACTTAAAGTTAATTTTGCCAACTGGGGGCATCAAACTCACAATTCGGATTTAAATGTGTTTTGGTTCGGATGTGGACCAGAGTCCGGCACTCGAGTACCTCTGCTGTGGACCTCAGTCATTCCTCACCAACATAACCTCAGAGAGCCTCCTTTAAGCTGCCATACATTATTAAGTCCAGCTTACTAAAACCTACACCACCTGTGGCCTCATTAAAATAATTAGCACTTCTGAAATTAAGTGAACTTTCTGAAATATTATACGGCATGCTGTTTGACAGTAGCTACACCTTAATCGGGCGCCTGCAGTTATTCTGACATTTTCTGCAAAGTTACACTTTCCCACAACAGCAGTTTCCTACTGAGACTAACAATCTCCTGTGAAAATCAGAAAAAAAAATACATGGACCATGTTATGACTTTACGCTACCATGAAAAATATGACATACATACATACATAACATACATACAGACATACATTTGACCATACAAGCATCAAAATCACGTCCGAGCCTTCTGAGCATGCTCCCTGTTCACTGCATTGATAAGACTTAAACTCAGTTTCACCATATCAGACATCCCACCTTAGGCACACTCGTTTCAGGGAGGGGGGTGAAAGACAACAGAAGGGGGATGGTGTGCTGGCAAGTCTTATAGTAATATGTTGCACACAGTATCATACTTCACACTATCAGTCAAAAGTTTTTGCACACACTGAAATTTTCTACATTTGCATGTTACTCACTTAACATTTACTAAAAACATACTCAATATTCTTTGCTAACAAATATGGTTACAGTATGTTCACCATTTCAGTGCCTTTATTAGCAAGAAAATGTCATATCTTTGATTCATCAAAGTAACCTCCTCAAGCAGTTATAACATCAGAGAAAAATCAAGGCATCCTTTCTACAAGGGACATCAAATACTGCTCTGTTTCATGAGATGAAACAGTTAACTAGTGCATTTAAAGTTAAAGGACAGCCTAAAACCTGACTATGCCATCACCACACCGCCAGTTAACAGGATGTCAGACATGCACTGTTACATATACTCTCTCCATTTTATAAAGGAGACTTGTTTTATTTTACTTATATCTTCATTTATAGCCGTTCATTCAACTTTCTGATGCTTAACAAGTATGAGTTTGAAGCCAGTCTTGTGGATTCTTTTTTCCTGTATCCTTATTTCCCAGTAGAGACATTCATGAAATGTCGCAAGCATCACGTCTAATTTGATCCATTTTAATAGCAAACATTTCTTCAAAAGTTCCCATAAATAAAACACGCACGGCGGTTAACTGCCTGTGAAAAAAATAGACTGTAAATCGTCATTTCTTCGATTGGAGGTGGAAGCAAAATATTTAATATTTAAACTTATATATCATAATTTTACATAAGCTAAATAGTTTAGTTTTTTCTATTGGCTTAATTTTATATTATTGAAAGAGTACAAATCTGTAGTTAAAACATTAAAAAGCTACGTAAATTTTACCAATTAACAAAAACATAACGAGCACCGTTATATTGACGAGGAGCGCGCTAATAGTCATGCCTAGGCACCGTCTGGGGGCATTTCACCTGGGGATGAGCGCGGCTTGCTCTCCCAGCCGGCTCCGGAACGCCTCCCACGCCAGGGCGTAGCTGTCCCCGCTGCCGCTCTCCATACCCCCGAAGTAGACCAGCTCCGACACCCCGCGGAAGCCGCTGCTAAACTCCTCGAAGTTTATGCTTCCGTCTCGGTCGGCGTCCAGTTTGGAGAATATCGCGTCCACCTCGATGGGCTGGACGCGGAGCTCCGAACAGACCTTGAGGAAGTCCTCCTTCTCAATGCGCCCCGAGTTATTCACATCGCAGGCGTGGAAGAGCATCCGCAGCTGCTCCCGGTCCTCCTCTATCTCCATGAGGAAAGGAGTGCAAGCGGGAGGAAACCACAATGCCGGATTTTAGCGTTAGAAGTTCACCAGGGTTTCCACAAAATTCAAAACTGCCGATATTGCAGCTCCCCAAAAAACAGCTCCACGGTCTAAAATCCAGGTTTGAAAATACAACAGGAATTTACAACTAAGTTAAAAGTTCTAGCAAAACTTAAAAAGAGAGAGATTTTTACGAAAAAACCGAGTTGATCGGAGGTTAGGCGGCGGTCACCTTGCTGTCCCTGCGGGAGCGTAGGGGACGCAGAGTGTCCGCCGGCTGGCTTGTAGTGGCGCTTTACTCTTAATATGGATAAGGCGTGTGTGCCTTTTACCAAGGCTATGCTTCTCGCTCTGCCTTGTTTAACTTTTAAAAAAAAGCATGAACTAAGTAAACATTACGCTGGCATCCACCCGGAATTAACACGCAACTACTTTCTGACAGTATTGTGTGGGATATCATATTACGATCACTTTTTAACTAATGCATGGAGAATTAATAACGTGACGTTTTCTGTCTTAATAATATTTCTCTTTAATGTGGACGTAGCTAAAAATCCTGCGTTTCTAATTTAGGATGGAAGTAGCATCTCGCTACTGCTCGACTACATGTTTTGCAACTGGAAAACGTATAAGCTATTTATCTAACATCCCAATGCTGTTTAAAAATAAGAATATAGTGTTTATCTGTTCTTAAAATTTGCATTCAGAATTATGCAAGTGTATAAATTATATATTCGGTTTCTTTAATTAAAGGCATTGAGGTATGTATGTATGACCTACAAGGAACAGATTCATCTTCATTAGATTTAAGTGTTTATTTACATTTCGAGGCAAACCAGCTTGGGGAGGGAGGCTAGAGGCAGCCAGCTTTACTGCATGCAGCAGTTGAGGTTAGGGGCTTTGCTCAGGAGCTCAGCAATGATATGATTACTCTGGGAAGTGGAACCCTGGATCTTCTAGACGGGAAGTGATGTTTAAGCTGATGAGCTACACACTAACCCCAGAAGAGGCAGCATGTGCCCCATAATTTGGTGAAAATTCAAAATGAAACACAGTTCAATGAGCAAATGTAAAAATTAAAATGTACCCTGATCAGCATCCCGGGGTTCATTTCCTCTCTCTCTCTCTCTCTCGCACACACACACACATATTTTAGTTTCCCTTTGTGGGGACAGAAAAAATGTTTCTTTCTTTAAAGGCAGAAAAGATGTCCCCTCAAGGTCAAAATATCAGGTTTTTATGACATCGTAGGAACATTTGGTGTATAATTACAACATACATACATACACACACACACATAATAATCCTGCATGCAGCTATACTGCAGTACAGTGGTACCTCAGTTCTCGAACTCATTAGAACTCTAATTTCTTAGAAGTCGAACCAACAAGTTCAAAAATTTTTTACCTAGAACTCGATCTGAATCTCAGAAGTCAAACCGTGAATGCCGACCTAAGACAACTTGTACGCACGGAAACAAAGGGTAAAGCTTCAGTCTCAGCCTCGCATTTGCTGTGATAGCATCCTGCATGTTTACACTAGCTGAATACATATATTTAGACAGTAAAAATACATTTAGGCAATGATAGACAGTAACAGTAATTATTATTATATAATAAAATACATTTAAAAATAAAGATTTCTTATTAATTATTTTAATATTAATAATAAACCATGAATACATTTCATTATAATAATATGCCCAGCTGGACTGATCGGAGACAAAGGCGCAGACGTCAGGGTATCGGGGAATACCGGGTTTAATTACAGGTAAGGCAGGCAAAACACAGACGGACAATACAATGACCGGACTGGGGAAACAAACTGAAATATACACGGACTAAATATACAGGACTAATTACAACAACCAGAAACAGCTGATCACTCAGGGATTCCACACGGGTTAACGAGGGGGCGTGGCACACGGAAGGAGCGGACGATTGGGGCAAGACACATTGTTTTTTTTCTAACTTTACATATTCTTGGATACATTTATTTTCTTACTTTAAAAAATACTAATATTTGATAAATGTGCTTATATGTGTTTAGTTCAGTATATGTTTTTCTTGTTTTGTCCGGTTCATTTTGTGTTTAAATGCTTTAAAAAAAACATATTTCGGTGTAATTTTTGGAGGCCGGGAACCAATTAATTGGTTTTCCATTATTTCTTATAAGGAAAATTCGATCAGAACTCCAACTTTTTAGGATTCGGTCCGAAGATCTGAACGGATTAATTTCGAGTTCTGGGGTACCACTGTATTTCAGTGGAAACCATGAAGCACCACTTTCAGCTGGGGAATGAAGTTTGAATTGTCTCCTGTTGACGCACCCTGTTATCCGGGTGGTCTGAGCGATCACACTGCACTTCAGTATTCCTGTTAATCTCCTTTAACTCTTTAATGTTGCGGACGTTATGGCAGCCAAAGAGATGCAGCAGCCTCAGTCTGGGGAAATGACGATAACATGGTGAATTATTTCTGTCCAATTACACCTCAAAACCTTTAAAGGTTCACTGGTACAATGCTTCCTCTGCAGCATGTCCTAATTCGTAAGTGGTCATCCTCAGTACATTTAATACCTTAAAGATTCCGTTAATGTTTCAACTTTCTAAACAAATCATGCACTTATGTTAAATCCATCTGTAAAGCCAGTTCGCCCAGTGCAGGTTGTGGCTCATATGTTACAATTTAGATCAGTGTTTCCCAAACCAGTCCTCAGAGCACGCTGGACAGATCCACATTTTTGTTTTATCCCAGTTTCCAGCACACCTGTAAGGTATTTAGAGCTCCTGATTGCTTGGGTCAGGTGTTCTGGGAACTGGGATAAAACAAAAATGTGGGTCTATCCAGTATGCCCCGAGGACTGGTTTGGGAAACGCAGACTTAGACAATTGAAGTTGCTGATAATTCTATACATAACTTCATAAATTCTGATTAAGGTCGGCATCTAGAACCCTGTTTCCTGTGAAGTCATGCTAGACTTTTTGTGTCACGTGTTCCATTCGCAGCCTGCCTGTCGTTTGCTTACCTTTTGCAGTGTCTGCAGAGTTTCCTGACTGCATCCTGAGATACACAGCAAAAGCTCAGTTTCACTGTCCTCAGGTACCTGTAGCAGTAATTTGCCAGGAGATGGACACTGCAGTGAAAAGAAACAGTTTCATATTCACTGGGAATGTTACTGCTGCCTTGAGAAGGTCAAAACACGAGCCACTGCCTTTGTGATGTAAATCCTCATTTTCTATATGACAAATACGGTTTCCATCTATATTTTTGAAGGTGACATTCACAAAACCATGTATATAGAACATAATTTGACAGAGCTGTATTTTTAAATATTTGTCGGTCATTTTTAGGAATATATAGAAAGCAGTCATGAAATGAAAACATCATTTGAATTTAAAAGCATGATTGTTATTCTGCACTGTTACTATAGTAACAAATCACCGCTGTTCTCAGTTCTTCTGTATTACAACACATGGTAGAAGAACAGACACTGAACTGGGGTCTCCATGGTTGCGGTCACTCAGTTGGGTCTTCTAATATGCATATGCCCAGAGTATTTAGTGAACATAAACCATTTGTTGTCTGCCACTGCTTCAAGCTCTCGTCCCCCTTTACACCTTTTTGAAATTACACCTTCAGTCTAAAGCCACATTGTGTTTGTATAGTTGTGATAACGGGGTTGGAAATAGTAAAGTTTTCCAGGTAAATGACAGGTGAGAATTAGCGGCTATGAAAACTGTGACAATTAGTTACATGTGACAGCTGTGGCATTACTACAAGTTTTATTAATGAGGCTCTGGGTATAAACTGTTATACAATGAGAGTATTCTGGGGCAACTGGAGCCTCTGTGCTTTACGACCTGCATGGCAGACCAGTGGCGGTCTGATGGTTAGGGAAGCGCACTTGGTTTGAATCCCAGTAAGGTGATAAATAATAGCTGCCCACTCTGATGTCACATATGGGTTAAATGCAGAGGACACATTGTGTTGTTGTGCACTGTGTGCTGTGGTGTGTCAACAATGATAGTTAATCACTTCCAGTGGCAGATGTTAATCCCAAGGTAGTGAATCCCTGTGCCGTCTATACAAATCCATACCCTCTGCTTCCTGTTGATGTCAGGCTCAGGTCCAGGTCTTGCAGCTGGAGGCTGGACATGGCTATTGCCTGGATCCCTCTGTCTGTTATCGTCTTACATCCACTCACATCCAAGTGCCTGCAAAACAGGTACAGGACTGGCACCCAATTAACTACGCTGCTGCTCATTTAATAAAAGATCACATTCCTTAGATATTTAACTAAGCAAGTCTGCCACACACTCAGGGAAAGGAGGAATTGGTGTCTAACTGGTTAGGATTGCCTTTCAGATGATGATGAAGGAGCTGGTATTTTATAAGGGCTGCCTCTCAGTTAGTGGGCATTAGTGATTGGAGGTTTAGTAGCTTTACAGCTAAATACCCAACCTAATGGAGCAGGAGTAGGTGCTGATCTCCGTCATACTGGCATCTGTGACATGGGGGCACGAGCTCAGCGTCAGGCTCCGCAGCTCCAGGCACTGGCAGACAATGTGGTGGACGGTCTGGTCATGCACCTGCACCACAGTGCGACCAATTTTCAGAACTCATGCATCTCGTGGAAGAAACAAATAGATTAGCTGGCTATACATTTTTTTCACACATCCTGTGAGTACATGAACCATCAATAAAGCTTTTATGCTTGCCCTGTTACCCAATGCACCTTGGTGAGGTTCTTTTCAAACATCCACACTAATCACAAATAAATCATGAGTAATCACACACATCAGAGATGTGACAGGTGCCATACCTGCGTGGAATGTGTGAGGTGAATGGACTTCGAAACTTACTGAATGGAGTCCAGTCAGATCCAGTGAGCCCAGATACTTGAGATCGGACATCATGTTGGTTAAGCAGGAATTTGATATCTTTGGAATCTTTCCGATGTTCAGACCTTTCAGGTTGGGACAGTTCTGTGCCACAGTGTTCAGACAGTCCGTGCTGAGAGAGGGGCAGCCAAACAGCTCCAGTCTACGGAGACTGGAATTACAGACACCCCCCTACTGCATTTAGTAAAGTCTGTCACAATGCAGTGCAGGGACTGACAATATAACATATATATGGTACTGTGGTGTCTTTACATAGATTATAAGTGTTCTTGTGTGTCTGGTGTCCACTGCCTCATTCCCTCTGTTTCCTGGGATAGGTTCCAGAGTCTCCTCAGCAAGGACATAGATTTAGGGATGGATGGTGGGGACATGTCCCTACCAATATTGTGGGAGTACAGTATGTGTTTAGGGAGGCAGGGAGCTCGTGGGAGTTTAACTTCCACAAAAATGTTCTGAGGGCAGAAAGAAGAATGATTGGTTCAGAGAGATAACCAATCAGATTGTAGAGGAGGTGGGCCCAAGCGACTAGAGGAGGTGAGACTAAGACATCTGATTTTCCATCTGTCCTCAGAACATTTTTGTGGAAGTAAAACTCCCATGAGCTCTGGTCCCCACCAATGTTGAAACCAAACCCAGGCTCTCGCTCCTCACTCCTGTACTGGACGAGCATTACGGAAGATGGACGGCTAGTATTATGGTGAAGTGCTCAGGTCTTCACATCAGTGTCAGCGAGACAGCAGGTCTCCTCATCGGCCCCGGCGAAGATCTTGTTACCTTTTCCCACGTCTACCGATCAGCAGTTTGATGGCCTCGTCCGTCATTCGACACCCATTAACTGCCACTTTCTCCAGGCTACACACATGGACGACGATTAAAGCCACCAAAAAGAGCATTTGAGATGAGTTATTCCTAACCCTCTCTCACAAGTTGCTATGGGAAGCAACGCATTAATATGAAATTTTATTGAAAAATTATTCACTAAGTTTAAGACTTCCTTTAAGATGTAGCCATTCTTACATATGACAGAATCCATTACATTGAAGTATAATTTTTAATGTTACCAGTGATCAATGTATTCAGCAGGTACATCACAATTTAATAAATACGTCCTCAGTGTGACACAATTATGGGATGTGTGGCATGACAGAGGATCCTACCTGGCACAAGCAGTGACCAGAGCAGTGATGCCAGCATCTGTGACTCCTGTCCAGCTCATGTCCACAGCGGTCAGGTGGGAACAGTGACGGCTGCAGGACAGCAGCACGTCGTCTCCGTGGAAACCAGGCCCACTGCAGCTGATCATCTTTAGTTCCTGAAAAGGCACCATCAGAAGTCTCACTCAGTTGTATCCGGCTGCTGATGTCCACTGGTGCATTACAAATCAGGCTCTTCACAAAAGCAGGTCATTACAAAAGGGCTTCTATGATCTTGTCTGCTGGAGTTTTCTGGCTGCACTGGCCCAAAGGTGCAGGTCTCATGCGGTCTCACTCTGACAATGGATGTCTTTGTCGTGAACAACAGTTTCTCCCTGTTTTCTCTGCTCCAGGGTTACATAAAAGGCATCTCATAACAGACCATTTGTGGGAATTTATATGGGGGTAACTCTATCCATTTTAAAACTGTTGGAGTTGAAATCAGAGTTGAGGCTCCGAAAGATTCTAATTCTTGTCTTCCTGATGCTAAGCACCATATTCATACCATATGAAGACTGCATAAGCATCCTATAATCACCCTTTAAGCAACCTATAAACACCCCATAAAGACTCAATAATCACCCTATAAGCATTCCATTAGCACTCTATAATCAACCAATTAACATCCAATAATGACTCTATAGGTTACATATAAACACACAAAAAGACTGTAGAAGAACCATATAAGCAATCCATAAACATCCTATAAAGATTATATAAGCAACATTTAAACACCCTATAAAGACTCTATAGGCACCCTATAAGAACTCTATAAGCACCCTATAAAGACTCTGAACTTTCTTATAAACATGTTTTTCCCTCTGTAAAAATTCAAGATATCTATAGTGCATTATAGATGAGAGCTTCATAGAGCATTCATAATGCATAATAAACATGGCTATAATGTGTTATGCCTTTTTCTAAATATGTATAGCCATATTTATAATGCTTTATGAATGCATTATGAATGTGTTTATAAATTACTGAAAACATGGACTGAAATAAAATTCTACTCCTTCAACACTGAGGTCATTTGCATTACTGTACCTGAAGGGTGTTTTTGCACTGTGCAAACAAGTCATCCAGCCCCCTGGAGGTAACTTGCAAACGTCTGCACCTGTTCAAGGTCAGCCTACGAGGACCATGCCTACCCACACTGCTCAGGAACTGGTCAGTCAGACAGGGCTGATCCTCAAATCGAACCTCCTCCCCTGCACAGTAAGAGAGTGACAGTTGAAAATAAATCACTTTCACTATGCAGGCATCTCTGCCAGGGAGCCTTAATGAACACACTTCAATCAGGGCTGACATGGGGTGTTTCTCTACACCGTGAACGGAAAAATCATACTTCTGGTCTTGGCAAGACCGGACTCACCAACTTGCCTTCCAAGAACAACCTTAGGTCACAATGAATCATGGGATTGGTCTCATTCGGCGAGGATGCAACTGATGCATCCTTGATATTTGGGTGGGGTGGGAATGACATTTGGGGATTTTTTAATGTCCTCTGTACTGCTTGAGTATTGGAAATGGTGTTCGGCAATGAAGGTAGCGTAAAATGGGTACACGAGAACACAAGTATGGTCAAGTACGCATACTGAGACAGGACAGGATGCCAGTCCATCACAGAGCACATACACACTCACAATCACACACTGTGGGCAATTCAGAGACACATGTTAGCTGACACCTGTCCACCTGGAAGCTATAATTCGGTAAGGGCCAATTGGACACCAAGGGGCATGTTTCGTGGACTAAATCAGTCATCATGAGATTCTTGATTTATCTTCTTCATTAGTCATTCATTAGTGCGAGGGACGTAGAGGAGGATCTGGCATCCATCTCTACTAGGTGAGTCAGTGGAACGTCACCGTTTCGGGCCGTCGCTGTGTACTGGAGCGTTTCAATTTTGTTTTGACTTATGCTGCCTAAAACCAGGTCAATACTCACAGGAAGTAAAACAGCACTGAAGCCTGCCGGAAGCCAGGTGAAAGTTAATAGAGCGTCACCAGTTTTTCTCATGCTTTGTGGCTGTAGGACCATCCCTTTGACCTTTGCTTCCTAAGGAGGTTCATGCTTTGTTTGTGTTTGTCTTTAGCTTCCCTGAGCGGAAACAGGGCAGGGGAATGCATCCTGGCCTTAGGCTCCATGGTTATCTCTTCAGTTTGCCCAAGGTGTCGGCCCCCGAGGACGAACGTCATGAGAGCAGAGCATGTGCTCAGGACCGGCAGGTGGCCAATGGAGGCGTGGGTCCAGGTGGCCTCAGATTGCACAGCCAACCAGAGCTGCAAGGCGACCCCTAGTGGACTCTTACCAAGGGGAATGGCACAGTTTTAACACAGACGTAAGGCCTTGGGAGTATGACTCCTGAGGTCAGTGCTGTGGTAGATTAAATAAGCACAGCTAGATAAGCTTTCAAATGGAAAAGAAAAAAAATAGCATAGTGCTTGTTACAGCTGCTAAGACGTGTTCTGTGTGGGAGGACGCAGCAGAGCTGCCAGGTGGTAATATGGATAATGGATATGGACACACTACCAGCAACTGCTTAGAATCTGCGTTCACACATCTAGCCCTCCCCGCTGTGCTAATCAGGTTTCTCAAACACTAGCAGGCCTGGTCCTGAGGGACTCTAGTCAAGGTGAGTTTTATACATTGTGCTAAAGCTCCACTTCATGAAGGAGTAGGAAACTCGCTGAATGTACACTGAACTCAACATGCCAATAACTCCTCAAAGGTGCTTTATAGATGAGCTTCATAGAGCATCTCCCACCACCTTCCAACCAGATTGCAATTAAAGCTTGTGTCACTTCATTTGTCCACACATCCATTATTATTATCCATTACTTTTATTATTTTTTTACGTCTGTTACGTAATATGTCTACTGGAAAAAAGCCCAGTACTAACAAGCTGACAGGAGCCATATCGCCACATATTGTAGCGGAGTCGGACATACTAAGGTCAATAAATCAATTCCCCTCTCCTGCATGTATGTATACTGGGACAAGGACAGTAGTCCAATTAAATGGCGTAGTCGAACTATAACCGTAGATGTGCAAGTAAACGTACTGACTGTCTTCATGACTTCAGCCATCCATCATTATTGTTGTCGTGTCATCCAAAGCCATGACACAGAAAACGCATTTATTTTCTCAGCTATGCATGTTCCCGTTTTAATATTGATTTGCTGTAGATGTGTTGCCATTAGACCACTCAGCCTCACACAGCTTCTTCTCATGGGCCAGGTGGCGAAGTCGATGACAGGCCGTCGCAAGGCGGACCAGGTCGCTGTGCCGTACCAGTGACAGGATGCACATCCACAGCTCATCAGGGAGGGACAGCCATGGCACAGAGACGCTGGCCCCAGTCTGCCAGAGGTAATCACTGATGACAAACAGCTCTGCACCGGAGCCGCATTGCTATGCAGCATTTGATATAAATTCAGAGAATTCCACATCTCCACATAATCAAAATATCAGCAATCTGGTAAAATCTTTTTACTTTTTAATTAATAAGGTGATATGTGAAATTCGGCCTCACAATGTTCGTGCATTTTCCAGCCTCTGAAAGGTTATTAGCTTGCGGAGGTAGTACTTCTGCTTCTGTAAAAATTGTCAGAATGTTTGGTTAATGATGCCAACAGGAACACTGAATTTTCATTATCAAACTTAAGCCATAAAAAAAGAAAGAAAAGTTCAGACTGATGTTTTTTGGTAGTATGTAGGTCTGCAACCATAGTCATAAGAGTTGTTCTGCACAGGAAGTGATGTCATAAAAAGAACATCCATCACTTACTGGTGTGGCTTTGTTGAGGAGAGCAGGATAATGAAGAGGCCACCCTTCCAGCCGTCAATAGCCTGTCCTCTGAAAACCCAGGTGAAAGAGAAGTCTCATTATTGTTATGTCCCACAAACACACACACACACACACACACACACACCTTGCCTAGAAGGAACAGTATTAGTAAATACTAATGCCCTGTCCTTAGTAGATGCTGTGTACTGTCATGTTTAATCCTAAGGGTTATTCTTCATTGCACTTAGGAAACAAAGAACAAGTCAGGGTGCTGCGTTTGTACAATAGCGGCAAGAGATGCAGACGTTCAAACATGGGCCCTTTCTTGCTGTCTTCATTTCCTCTGATCCAAATGATAATCACTCAGAGCAGGGGTAGGTGCACTGTGTCGAGCGTGTGCTAATGCAGCGTACTAATGAGCATGTCCGCATCTAATGCGGCCGCTTCGCTCACGGAGACTTCAAAGGGCCGCTTGCCCACAATGGTGGTTTTATGATGCAGATCTCCACAGCTGCCACCCAGTTACACCACAGCGGTTGGGCGCAGTGCCAGCGCACAGGGGACGGATAGGTCTCCACTGTGTTCTACCGGGCTGCGAATGTCAGTGCAAGAGTAACACCGAGGCAGGAGGGAGACTGGCAGGTTTCCATCTCCTTCACAGGGATACCAGAGGATTAGAGCCCCCTGCAGTAATACGGCAGCAGGGAACACGTGCTTAAGTGCTGGGGTATTGCACATGTACACTTTGTATGTCCTCACACACCTGATGCTGGCAATTAAAATCAATGATCCCTGAGCCGCTACATGCGCACAGCCAGAGCCACAGAAGCAAAGGCGGGTTCTCTTTGCAAGCCGCTGTGACAAGGTGGAGAGCCGTGGGCGTGGACCAGAAAACGCCAAAGCCCTGCGTCGTGGCTGATGATAGGTCTGAAATTAGCTCTGAAAGAGAGCTGACATTTATAACATAAAAATGATGGAGGGGGCATGCTGGAAAGGCAGTGCTTGGGAGAGGAGGCGTGTGGGAGAGAAGGCATGTGGGAGAGGCAGGGGCATGTGGAAGAGGCAGGGGTTTGTGGGAGAGGAGGCATGTGGGAGAGGAGGCAGGGGTGTGTGGGAGAGGAGGCGTGTGGGAGAGGAGGCAGGGGTGTGTGGGAGAGGAGGTGTGTGCGAGAGGCAGGGGTTTGTGGAGAGGAGGCGTGTGGGAGATAGGAGGCTTGTGGGAGAGGCAGGGGTTTGTGGGAGAGGAGACATGTGGAAATGCCAGAGGTTTGTGGGAGAGGAGGCGTGTGGGAGAGGCAGGGGTTTGTGCGAGAGGAGGTGCGTGAGAGAGGAGGCATGTGGAAGAGGCAGGGGTTTGTGGGAGAGGAGGCGTGTGGGAGAGGAGGCATGTGGAAGAGGCAGGGGTTTGTGGGAGAGGAGGCATGTGGAAGAGGCAGGGGTTTGTGGGAGAGGAGGCATGTGGGAGAGGAGGTGTGTGGGAAAGGAGGTGTGTGGGAGAGGTAGGCATGTGGGAGAGGAGGCATGTGGGAGAGACAGAGGTGTGGGAGAGGAAGCATGTAGGAGAGGCAGGGATGTCGGAGAGGAGGCATGTGGGAGAGGAGGCGTGTGGGAGAGGCAGGGGTGTCGGAGAGGAGGCATGTGGGAGAGGGGGTGTGCGGGAGAGGAGGCAGGATATGAGTAGTGCTTCTTCCCTGAAACCCATGACTTTGATGTCTATGGGTTCAAGCCACTAGCCAAGTCGACCAAGTTTATTTTTAACTTAGCATTTGAACAGTGGCTACTCACCATGCTGGGGTCCAGGCCTTAGAGTACCTGCCGAGGAGGACTTACTCCCCGCCAGAGATGAAGGTCTGTTCCGAGCCTGAGACCTGTAGTCAAACAGCAGGTATGCAGGTTGGTGAGGCTGTTGGAGGGACATGGATACCCTTGCAGATTCAGGAGTCACAGTTTTTGACAGGTGCCCTTGAATACTGAAAATTATATGTACAATTGGGCAGGGGAGCTCAAGGTGACATTTTGTCAGGGGCCCCAGAATTTCTAGTTACACTGCAGCATCTTGGAATATGTGCTGAATAAAGTAACAATGTCTAAGTTCTGCAATTCAGATAAGTGCCATGAGATGGCAGTGTGATACCAGTCATAATAATAGCAGTTTGTTGCGTGGCTTCCTATAATGTGAAATTCGTTTATTTAAACTAACAGCACATGGAAAAAATCACGGTATGGATGGCAATGTCTTGTTTTATGAAATATTTCGAAATATCAGTCTAATATCCTTTCGGTGTTGTTAATTGTCTCTTTTTAATCAAACTTACTACTGTCTGTGTAGCACTTCCTTATATCACGTGAATTTTCTGTCAGTTGTGACATAGAGGGACACACTATTGGATTTTGATCTCAAGGGTTTAAATCAAACATACAGGTAATGTGTGATTTATATTACTGGATACACCAATCTTCTTTACTGTGTGCCCCACTTCTGTGGTGCACAAATTTTAACGACAAGGTCTTACAATCATCCTACCACTAGGGGGCAGGCAACTTACTCCAGTTGTCCATCAGTTGCGATGTGGAACTTCAGAGCCTTGACAGTGAATCAGTTAGAACAGACAAGAAATGGGTACGTGACTGAAAGAAATTTCTGTTCCAATTCTATAAATGGGACCTATCTCTAATGTGACTCCCTCTCTCGGAATGACATTTAGTACCATGTGCTTTCAGCTGTGTGGGAGGTTTTCCATAAACACAGATATTTGATGCATGTAGGGTGTCATTGTATGTCATTGGTTATAATGTAGCAAAGGGCAACAAAGTAGCAAGTTTATGGCAGGAAGCAGTCTGGAGTCACACCAGCAGAGGTCCGGGTCCAAATCACTGACAGTGCTGACTGGTGTCCAAGGTTATGGACGATCAGCCAACCTATAGTAAACAATTAATACTTTATTGTCCCTGTGGGGCAATTGTTTTTACACCTCCCTCAACTTGTTATTTGCAGAGTAAGCTGTACGCAAAGGACTGCCACCTGTAGTAGCACCCAGGGAGCTGGGGGTTAAGGGCCTTGCTCAAGGACTCGCAGACGTGCTGATGCTGAGTTTGAACCGGCAACCTTCTTATTACAGGCATACAGGCTTAGCCCACTGAGCCACACGCTGAGCTACAGAGCTACATGACTGTTATCGTAAGGTGTAATTTATAGCTTAAGGTGAGCTGACAAGCAAACCCTAATTACAACAACAACCTGTCCCAGCATGCAACTGTGGATTGATGCACGAGTACAGAGGTACTGAGGAGACCAGCGGTGGATCAAGCTTCAGACCCCCAACCAACAGGCAGCATGGCAATGACCCTGCAGACTGTGCTGTTTGCTGCCTTCATTGCTTATAAGAAGCCTACTCTGCCCCATGTGAACAGCTCAGGTCCGTCCAAACGCAACCCGTCAGCCGATTTGTGGAGCTCACGCCATTTTTTTGCGGCGCTGCATTGTTTGTTTGTGTCTTTGTTTTGTAACGCGTGAACATAAGTGCTGCTCTCAGCTCTTGACAGATACAGAGAAAAACATATTTGTGTTTTTCAGCTGCCTGTGAGCCAGTCATTGTGTCTCCAAGGTAACTCTCTCCGGCTCAAGGGAAATGAAAGGCTCCCTGCCCAGTATGCATTAGGCATGCACTGTTTGGTACAACTGAAATAGCACTGGTTAACAAAATACGCTACTGCCTTTGGTCTGTATTACAAGAGTATGTTGCCTGAACTAATCGATTGATGTGACATTTGTCAGATAATTTGTAATTTGTATAATGAATCAAAATTGAAAATAAGACACTGATTAGGAAATATGTATGCGCTACATTGTTTTGTAGTTACAGTAAGCTGTTCTTTAACACCATTGTGTACAGAATAACACATATTCGTACAAACATGTGGGATGGAAATATTTATTATTAATTAAAAATGTTGATATCAATTATTATCCAGCTCATGTAATTTTAAAGGGCTAATAAAAAATGTAGGTAAAACAAACATACGTCACCGCAGTGATTTAGTGAGCTATCTGAGAGGTCACCGTTAACCAGGAATACAGCTCACTGGTGGCTGACTGAGGAAAGGGTTGTCAGGTGTCCTGGCCGGTGCCTCACCTTGGCAACAGCTGCCCATGGCTGAATGATGACCAGGATAAGCTTGATCGTCCCCAGTGTCTTCTCTCTCCATACCGTCTAGACTGTAGCCCTGGGGACACACCTGGACACGGACACACATATGTACAAAAAGTACAACATACATACATACAGAAAGCAACACAAAAGACAAACAGACGTAAACCAAACAACATGAAAGATGCACAGACATATGCAAAACATGAAAAACACAAAGACATATGCAAAACAACATGAAAGACACATACACAAAAAACACCACAAAAGATATAGACACAAAGCAACAATAAAGACTAAAGGATATAGAGAAAACCACACAAGACACAAAGACATGCACAAAACAACACAAAAAAATCACAAAGACTTACACACACAGTGCACTATGGCCAATTTAGAGATATTAGCCTAACTGCATGTCTTTGGACGCTGGAGAGACACCCATGGGGCAGAGGGGATCTCCACGCCCGCGATTCAAACCCCCAACCCTGAAAGTGTGAAGCCAAAAGCTCCACCCACTGAGCCACGATGATGCTCTAATAAAATTCATCTTTTCTTTCACTGCATGTAGGAATTTTGCCCCTTTAACTTCTTATTCTAACTTGCAACTTTGGAAGATCTCTGTTAGGACAAAATGCAGGGGATGCCAAAAGTAACACTTAAAATTAGCTACAGTAATAAAAAGATTTGAAACTCTAATATCGGTCAAGTCGTATTTATACATGATTTATACATTGATACGGACTATTTCAGTAGCTATATCGAAAGGTGCTTAATTGTGTGACTATGAATCGTATTTATATTACTCATGGAAAAACACAAGACCTTGTAATTTGTTTCTTCCAGATGTGCTGCAATTCGCAGTCGTTCCCTTATCTCCTTGCTCACCACAGGCCTTTCCTGCCAGGCCCTCCGCAGGGTCACACAGAATTGACATCGGTATTACAGTAGTTTCACCACCCGTCTGCTTGCAAGTCAAAGGTTCACGGATGGAAGTTGGGTTTAGCAATCCAGCCACGCTCTCTGCATTCTGGTACTGGTTTTCCACAGAGCCAACAAGCCCGTGATTGAATATTCCTGTCCCATCCCTGTTTGCCACACATGGCAGTCCAGCCAGCTGATGTGTTCCTCCCGCTTTCAGCCTTCCATCAGATTTCACTGTGTCTCCTTCATCCTGAAGGACGTTGTCAACCTCAGCCTTGTGCCCTTCATCCTGTACTCTGTCTGCTATATCCCTGTTCTCTTCATGCTGCTGGAGGCAGCCAGTGGTATCCTTGAATTGTTCTGGGAGTAATTGTACTGCATCAGCCCCGGCTCTCCCACAGAACACCTGAGGGTGTTGTAGGGCCTGCTGTCTTTTATAGTCAACAATACAAGCCTTATAGAGTAGGTATTCCTCATAAATACTCAGGCTGTGTGGAACATGCAAGCGTGGATGAGTGTTTTGACCAGATCTGTCAAAGCAGGTCATGCCACTGATATTACTAATGTGGTGAGACTCTCCCTCAAAAAGTCCAAGACGGGCTTTTTGGGGTCTCAATGCTTCATGTAAGTATTTAGAGGCAGCATTTCCATCTGACCAGCATGTGCCCACACAATCAGGACCATCCTTGACTCTGCATCTGGAGGACTCTGAAGCTGATGGAAAGGTATCCAGGCTGTCTCGTATTCGGCACTCCTCTCTATCTTTCTTGCCGCTGCCAGGTCTTATTTCAGGACTCTCCAGGAGGACGTGACAGGGCGTCATCCAAGGTTGATTCTGCCTGCAGCAATTGCCTTTATACAGCAGGCTGGAGCTCTCCCACGCAGGAACCTCTGCTCCTTTTTCTCCTAAAAAACCCTTAAGCTTGGAATCAGAGTTCTGTCTCTCCACACCAGGCTGTGTTGGCCTACAGGAATGGTATGAGGTGACCACATTGTTTTTCTCTGCCATCTCTTCTTCCTCATCCTCCTGTTCTTCACATCTGACCATGCTCTCCAGCATACCTGATGCTCCAAAGATCCTTCCTTCAGAAAGTGTGCTTTTAGACAAGTTATTTGAAAGGTCGCAAGTTTGAGCGACAGTTTGATATTTAGGGATCCTCGGTACATGATACTCAGCGCCGCCACGAGAAGCACAAGCAGAGATGTCCACTGGTTCATGTAGGGAGAAACATACCTGTCGTGACTTGTCTTTATTATAAAACGGAAAACACACTTGGTCCTCACTGTGGAAGAACGTATCTTCACCAATAGGATTCCTGTGCTGTTTACATGCAAGGATAGCGCTATGGCATGGAGCTCTAGCGTCACGGTTCTGGCAGAGCGCGGCTACGTGATGTTGGGTCAGTGGCCTGCTGGGGGGGATGGAATATGAACTGTTATTCCTTTTGCTTATGGATAGATTTGCAGGGTCATCTTGACACTCTTCTGTCATTGTGGATAACACGCCCCCGGATTCCCCTGTGTCTCTAACTGTGTAGGTTCTGCTGAAGTTCTGCTCCTGCTCTTCTTCAAAACCTTTGTCTATTTGCTGGGTACTGATAGTTCCCTGTTCATCTTCAGTTTTTGTACGGGACCCCTGCACTCTAGTAAAGTTCTGAGCCCAGGTTAACACATGCCTCAGTTTCTGGTGTTCTGGAACACATGGGTCACTGAGAAGTTGCCTGTCCGGATCATTCTTTCCTCTTTCACCAACTAAACCCAAGGTCCCACCATAGGCTTCTCTACAGAGGTCCTGAGGAGAGTTTAAGGGGTTTATGCCATTCAAGGGGTTTTCATAATTTGAAAGCAGTATAGTTTCCTGTGTTTTGGTTGTATCTGTGGTCTCATGTGTGCCAATAAAATACTCTACTCGTTTTGTCCTCAAGAACTTAAGATTCTGAGTCCTGGGGCTGTCAGTGGAGGAGGCCGTTTCTGCCTGTAGAGGCCTCAGCTCCTTTGCTTTAAGGATGGTGAGCTCCTAAAGGCAACAGAGAAGTTCTTCATGTTTCTCCATGTTAGGGAAGTCACACTCCAATATGTTTTTATTATGTGTCCTTTAACCCATAAGAAATATGTACTTAAACCAGTATGTGACTTTATAAGTAGCATCTCACAGATTTTAAAAGAATTTTTCCCTCATTTGCGGATTCATAAGACATGATAATTACTGCAATGGTCATAAATCATGCTAACTGACATGAATAGGTGTAGAATTTTTATTTAACATCTGCTTTAAAAATATACGTATTGTCACCAAGTTTTAACAAAACTGTATGCAGTGAGCTTCACAGCACATTTTGTAGGATTGCAAGTGAAAAAAAAATCTTCCAACCATTTATCCTGGTCATGGGGTGAACTAAGAACATGATCTGGCAAATCATCTCTCAAGGGTAAGGAAAGCTTTCAACCAGCACCGGCTGTGCCCTACTATTATGCACAGTGGCTATTGACCTGTTATGGTATAGCCACCTGTTACGTGTCAATGGGTCTGGCTATTGCTAAGCATCGTGACTATTGTTGAACTGCAAGCCACCAGGTGCACAAAACAATGATTCTTAAAATGGCTGTCAATATTCAAAATAAAACCCAAGACTTTAATTTCCCCATACATGCTGCTAAATAGATTCCAGTGTGATTCCTTGTTAATGAGTGAAGATGGAGCGCCATCTCATGCTGGGCGTTAACCTGCTTTGTGTCCTGTGCTGCCTCAGAAAGGCTCCAGGCCAGACACTTCAAAAGCATGTGTAAGTGTACTTCAAGATGTGAAAGCAAATTAAGAATGAATCTTTGTGTGTGTGTGTGTGTGTGTGTGTGTGAGAGAGAGAGAGAGAGAGAGAGAGAGAGAGAGAATTATAAATGTCCCCCACAGTATAATACCTGTTATTTTGATGTTGTGGTCACCATTTTTTAGGTCCCCACAAAGATCTGTGAATGCAATTAAAAAACTAAAAATGCCAAAAGCCTTGTATTTTGTTTGGTTACGGTTAGGGCTGGGTAGGGGTTAAGGTCGTCATGTTGCGATTAGAGTTTCCCCATAGAAATGAATAGAGAGTCCCCACAAAGATATAGGCTAATTACAAACGTGTGTGTGTGTTTGCATATAATTGCAGATAAACTGAGCTGAAGTGTAGCCACAGGAGTATGATTTAAGTTAATATCGTGGGTGGAATATCAGACATTGAGTCATGCACGCAAAAAAAAACCGCAGGCTTGTTCACTGATCAAACCTGAGCAATAATTAAGCAGACACTCCGTCAAAGAATTAATATATCGTACAATTAAAACGGTTAGCATGAACTAAAAAACTGTTTAAATGCCGTGCGATTTATTTAAACTTTAAATATGCATAACATACCGATGAATCTCTGTTAGCTGGCGCCATGGTCTCACTGTCAATTGCATCCTTCCAATCTCTATGGAAACGACGCTGCGCATGCGCCCTTACTCATGCGCATGCAGGAGAGATACGGGTACAATGTGTAACCTATTTCCTAGAGTAGTTTAGAGTCATTTCCGATACGCTTCTCTCGGGTAGATTAATGAAAATTACTTTTATATCTGGACTTTGGTATTTGTTATTGTATTTAGATATGATACGCAGCCTTCGTTGAACGGTTTTATAATAGATTTATAAATAATTAATTAAGTATATTGTGAAATGTAAAGTTTTCTGTCTTTACAAATAATACAATAATGATTGCATAGTTTTTTGGAATATGGAATTAAATTACAACAAAATCCACATTTTATTTTAAAAAAATCTTTGGAAAACAAATAACAATGAAACAACATAGTTTTCATTATATATTAATTAGGGGTTTTATTGTGGCAGTACTAACATATAAAACGATCCATATTTTTGTTTTAACAAACAAACATTCAAAATACACTTTACAAAGTTCATAAGGCTTAACGTTCCTGCACTGGTTAGACCATTGGAAACTTTTTTAAAATTCCTCCCAGAGTTGTTTAGAACAGATCAAATGACAGAATAACTAATACAAATTTATAACACAAAATTACAGAAAGAAATTGTGTTATGTTTGCCTACATAATCGTCACACTCGGTAAATGCCCGTTCAAGCAAAATACCCAAAGAAGCATTATTTTTTCCACTTCCAGTCCGAATTTCACATAATGAGATTTTGCATTATTTTTTGTTCATCGAATAATGTCAATACGGATCATATGCGAAAAACTTTAGTAGGAACTAATAACGATTCTTGTTTTTAGAATTATTTTGTTCTGAGCAGTGATAACGTTTTAGCATTAGGTTGCATTTATGTTTTCTGTATGAGTCGTTATTTTTGCTGCATTTGATGTGGTGTTGAGAAAAAAAAAACATAAACTCAGTATCACTGCTGTTTGCTAATTTCCCCATGCAACATAAAAGGACAACAGATGTTCTATAAAATGAATGGTAACATTGTGTTACATTCAGCTATATGTAATGAGGCACCCTTGAAAACGAATTCCATTATATGCTTGTTTACTTAATATTTAATGTTTATTAAAGTTATGGCTTTAATGTTACCTAGATTGAATCAAACAAATGTAGCTATTATTTTTTACTTTTCAATATGACTTAAGTTTAATTAGAAATCTCCTCAGTACTTTGTCAATACCTGGGTCTTTTTCCGGATATAAATTCTATGATAGCAGAATTAATTCTACAATCTACAGCTGTGATAGTACCGCAGGGGGTTATGGTGTCCCCTTACTGTCATTTTACTAATTACAGCAAAGCAAAGTCAAGTCTATGGCATATTTCCATTTTGTAAACATATTTAGGTCACTATAAGAGAAGGGGCATTAATCACGTCGCCATTTTCCCCAGTTAATCTTATGACTTGCAGAGTTTCAGGCTTACATTAATTACTATTAATTCACAGGGGCGATCTAAGGATTCATCAAAGCGGGCGATACATTTAGCTATGTCTAAAAGATGACTGAGTTTAACGGATTAATACAATTTTGCGCATTTACATATTTAATGTAGAAGCCATGCATATATATGAAATGAAGGACACATCATTATACTACTTTGAGGGATGACACAATAGACTTTTTCTTTTCCTTTTTTTACAAGATGGTCTACTTTCCTCTATAAGCCATGACTCTTATTCCTACAGTATTTACATACATATACTGACATTTTACAGAGAAATAAAGGAAAGAAAAATCACCATGCAGTGGTATTCAATTATTTGTATGTTCCAAAAAAACAAACAAGTGCAAAAACAAAACAAAAGTGGTTACAGTGTCTGCTGGCTTTTTTGTTTTTCTTGTTTATTCGAGAATCTGAAATAATTCAAAGGGAAAGGCTGTCAACACACTAGAGGGGCAATAAGGTGATATCAGTGACCAAAACAGGGTTCAAAGCATAAACAACGCCATTAGGTAGACATGTTTTCTAATCTAATATGCATATTTACATACGCAATCCTTATTTGAAAGAATACTTTGGTTTTATGCTACGTAGACACGTTGATTGCTGCATTATGGTAGCCACCTTTAATAGATGTTCGACGCTTTTTTTTTTTTTTTGACGACATGGTTGTGATAATACAGAACATACCCATACCGGCTGCAGTAGGGGCTGTGCTACGGCGTGAGGCTGACTGGTTGAGGTACACAAGTATGTCAATGCAATTAAGTGCCCTGCAGTCATTGGAATGAACTTTCTTGCACGCAAGTGAAGGATGATCCACCTTTGACCGCAATAACAGAACCCAGCTGAAAGGACAAATGAGACAAGAAGTAATGGGTAAATTAGGAAACGATTTCGAATGCATATGTTTCGAGAGAGCATATTCTGTGTGCGTTGACACAAAGATGACATCAATCGACTGCCCTTGATCCTTTCCTGAGAGTAATGTCTGACTGATATGATTTACAGGATTCAGGATACTCGTGATTAATGCTGCATGTAATCCAAAGCTCCCGATTGTGCCGCGACCTTGCCCAGCGCAAAGTGCAATTCAAACAACGAGGCTGGTTTCTTGGTCGGACCGCGAGTCTATCCTCAGCCGTGAAACACGCGCCTCATAGGGCAGAGCTCACGCGACCAGGCTGGACCCTTACCCCTTTATATTTATGTTTCCATGTAAAAATGGAAATAGGGTACAGCCCTGCTTTTTTCTGAATTTTATATGTTTACAGGTAGGGACATTTCCAAAGGCAGCTAGGCAAACAGGGAACAGCCACACGGTCCACGCTAACGTCCAAAAGTAAAACAGTCAGGGTCGCGTGTGAACAGAGTGCCCATTTTTCCAACACATCCAGCACGTCTCCCACAATGGCTTCCGTAACAACGCACATCCGTACCACGACAGATTGCGCTGTGTCTAAATCCCACAGTGCCACCTCCCTCTCGGACCACAGTGCCCGTACCCTCAAAAGAGCTGTACCTTTATTTTCTGACTGAAAAAAAAACCTGAAATACTCGTATCACGTAAAAATGTACAAAACATTAAAAACAGTGTAAAGTTTTATTTTAAAATATACAGATGTCTATAGGCTGTGGATCTCTTTTTTTACAGGACAAAACTGAGTTGCTTTCAAACTGGAAGTGTTTCTATGTGAGTAACCATAACAACTCTTTAAATAAGGTGGCCTTTCATTAATTTTCCTGATATCTTTGCTATCATCATTAATATCACTTCGCTAACATAATTAGATGTATATTTGCTGTATACACAATGGTTATTAACTAAACATCGTCTGATGGCAGTGTCCCAGTCAGTGCTTCTCCTCAGGACCGCCTCCAACTGTTTTCTGCACTTTGCCACCATGCTGGTGCAAGGCTATCTGACCCGAGAACAGTGATGGCTGAACATCAGCCTGGCTGTGGCTCTAGAAGTGTGTGTGTGCTTGTGTGAAAAAAAAATTAAAAATGACCCCACAGAAACGACCCGGAAATGAAAGCAACCCGTTTATTTCCGCCCGATGCAGACGGCCCCCACTAGCTGCCGGGAAGCCCACCCCTTCACTAGCCCCCCAGCTTGTCCAGGACGATGTTTATCTTGCACACGACCCAACGCCGCAGAGGACAGTAGTACTCGTAGTGGAACTGCTCAAACTCGGGCGTCTGGCGGATCTCGCGCAGAAAGGAGACGTCGATGTCGGACTCGAGCAGCAGCAGTAGCAGGGGCAGAAGGATCATCAGCAGGCCCAGTGCCAAGGCCAGCAGGCGGGCCAGGCTGCGCAGACAGGCACCCAGTGGTGCGCTGCCCCCCGCCCGTGGACTTAGCCCCCGGGGGGCATCCCTCGCCCGCTCCTCCTGGGCCCCCTCACATTCCTGCTCGCCCTCAGGTTCGTCCCGCAGGCCGCTGTCAGCATGCAGCTCCTTCAGGAGCTTGACGGGGCTCTCGAACAGCAGGTCGACTCCGCCTACGTCCTCCACTGGGGTGGGCAGCAGACTGGCACACGGGTTGTACACCAGCTCCGAGATCGTCAGGGCGTCACAGCCCTCCTCCTCATCTTCCTCGTGCCGTCGCTCCTCTTTACACAGCATGCGCTCCTCTGACGGGGGGACGTCTCCCGCCCCCCACTCAGCCCCATCCTTCCCTGCCTCGGGCTGTGACACAATAGCCAACTTCAGGGGAGACAAGTGGACGGACTCCTTCAGGGCGAGCAGACCTACAGCAGGGCAGAAGCAGGGAGGTGTGGGCCTGTCAGTATCAGGACCCAAATGGACTGTGAGGGCACTGCAAAGACACTTAAGGGACAGCCAATGACCTTGGCTTCTGTTCTTTGTTTTGCCCCTGTTCCATGTTGGCATGGTTACAGCAGCACTTAATCTTGCTCCCCTAGGCTACTTCACAGTTGCATAGAGCCTGAGGTGTCTTTGTGCAATTTTCCCAGCAAATACTTTGAATAAATCCGCTTTATAACATAAAATTCAGCCATATACCTGTTTCCAGTTAGAGGGCGATATAACATTAGGATGATGCAATGAAATGACGCGCTAAATCCAAGCAGCTCGCTGGAGCAATGTGGCTCCTGCCGTTGTCAGAGCAAAGATGAAAACAATACTGTAACCGTGGCAACAGGTCAAGGGTTACAACAATCCCTAGAAACAGATGCTTCGGAAATGAGGAAACAATTGCTATGGAAACAACCAAAGTCCACAATGGTTTTGGAGGTCTTCATGTAAGTTTGAAGGGTTTAGAGACTGGACTCTTGGAAAACAACTTAAAAAAATAGAATTAAATTTTACAACTGTGTTGTACATTGGTTGTAGCATTTTGCATAAGGTAAGATTAGTTAAATTCTAAACTGGGAAGCAGAAGACACAGATCCCAGACACAGAGCCAAAAATGCAACAGAAACGTAAATGCTTGGGAGTCTTCGGCAGATGGTCCAGAGTTAGGGGACATCTTGCTGGCATGGGGGAGGCTGTCCTGGTTTGGAGTCAAAGGCAGCTCTGGCCATCAGGGTGGGGGGGGGAATGACAGCAGATAATACAAGTGCTAGTGGCAGAAGATCTGGGTGACAGTGTGCAGAGAGCAGGACAGGCCGCCACATTCCTTCAGTGCATTCCTCAGGCCCCCAGGAGCTGCGCTGCACTCTCCCCTGCATGGCACAGTGATTCACCGTGCTGCACTGCACTCTCCCCTGCATGGCACAGTGATTCACCGTGCTGCACTGCTGCCGCGCAGAAAGAAACACAGCCTGACAGTCACCTGCAGCTTTAGTTTTTACTGCACTAAGTGCTTTAAGCCATCACTCATCACTCAAACACATTGTACGCATTTTCATAACACTAAACACACATTCAACACAAGCAAAATAAAGGCTTATCTTGATATCAGTAAATACCGTGCTGAGCACTAAGCTACTGCGGCGCTCATTAAGGCACACGGTCTGGTGGGTGTGGCCTGGGGCACCGTACCGGGTCCGGACACGCGCTCCCCGTGTCCCAGCAGCCGCACATACACATCCCGGGCCGTGCGGTTGGCCAGGTACAGCCGGAGGCTCCTCTGCGTGGTGATCTTCACCTGACACTTCAGCCTGTCCCCTATGATGGCTTCCCGTTCTCCCCAACGCCAGCCTCGCTCCTCCTGGCCCCCCACCATGCCCGGCGTCTTCTGTGGACCCTCGGTCATAGCTACCTGCTCTGCTCAGCTTCGCGACGGGGGCTTTTATGCCGGCATTGGTTGCCCCGGCGCCTCCAAACCAATGAAATGTCAGCAATGGCCCCTCAAAGTGCAACCAAAGACAGGGCTTTGGGGACTGATTCAGTGTTATTTATACCCCTGGCTACAGAGGCCACATAATTATTCATCTGATTACAGAGAGACAGGCCCCCGAGAGCAGAGAACGGTGAGCGCAGCTGTGAGATCAGCCCATCCTTCAAAGGAGCGGCTGGATCCAGTGGAGAAGTACAGCCAACATCTGGTCCCAGAAGGTCACAGCAAATATCATCCATCCATCTCCTTCCTCGTTGTCTTCATCCATTATTCTTCCTTGACGCGGAGTTGATGTGTATTAGTACAAACCATTTGGAAAATTAAATTAGATTTTACAGAGAAATGGATCGATAAACCAGAAAAGCGGGCCACTGTAAACAGGAAAAAACGTTGTCAGGGTACCAGGAACTGGCCTGAAATGCAGGAAGGAAGTGTCACAGTTTCCGTTATCTGCTGTTCATATCAACAATGACAGGGAGGAATCACAGAAGCTGGCATGTCTCAGGCGGGACTGTGCTTAAAGCCAATAAAAGGCACAGTGTTAAGCACAGGCGGCATTTGGGTCTACAGGGGGAACAGACTTACAGCAATGAAATGATGTTTCGGCTAAAGTGAAAAACACCCCCATTTTCATAACAATCTTACAAAAAGCGATGCCAAAATAATGCACCTGCAAGACAATTTAATTCCCTTAAAAACACAGGCAAGCGAAAAAATAATTGACTTGTTATCAGTTTTCTGTTTTGGAGATCTGCAGTTAGGGACTGTGGATTACAGGCTTGTAATTCACAGTCAACCGGGAATCACCAGAAACGTAAACATGGCTATGAGCACCATGTTTTTGTACGTGCGCAAGGTGTGGGTGTGCCACAGAACAGGCTATAAAGGCCGGAATGGAGAGGTCTGACCCTCTGAGGGATGGCAGATAAAGTCCAGGAGACCCAGGGGTCAGATTTCTCCATCCTCCACACAATCTCTCTCCCAACACCGGAGGAAAGTCGATCCTAATGGATCAAGCTGGGTGTTAGCAGCATGGGGGAGGAAAGGTGAGAAAAGCTTGTGGAACTCCACTCTCTCTCCAGCACAGGCAAGCAGGGATGGCAGCTGAATTCCCTCTTTCCGGAGGGGGGGGGGGGGGATTGCAGCAAGGCCCGGGGTGGAGNGGATTGCAGCAAGGCCCGGGGTGGAGTGTTCAAAAGCGCTGTAGCATCGACTGATCGATCGCTACAAAGCAAAGCGTTTCTGCCATATATCTAGTACCTTTGGCCTTGCCAAACTGCATTTGAGTCCTCGGCCTCCGCTTCACCGCTGCACGAGAGCATGAAGAGGAGCGGGTGACATGGCAGAGAGAGAGACTCACATCAGATCACTTCTGGATCACACGGCGGCAACATCTCACGCTTAACGTCCTTCTAGTGGAGACCTTCCAGCCAAATAAAGGCCGCTAATTGAGTTTTCATTAACGCTAACCACAAGCCTCCTGAGAAAGGAGTTTCCATGATGTCACTGGGTCACCCGACAGGTCATTAGCATGTTGTCAGCACAGCATTCATCAGTGGGATATATTTACCCCTGATTGAAGCTGCCTGCTAAGAGCCTTTGGGGTGAGAATCCACAGAGAAGCACCAGCTGCTCAGTTTTCACAGGGACCCCAAGAGGGCTCCAAACAGCTGCATGTGTGTGTGATGCAGCTACACTATACGCAGTATGTAACACAGCTACACGGTATGTAGTACAGTACATAACACAGCTACACTGTACCCAGTATGCAACACAGGTACAATGTACCCAGTATGTAACGCAGCTATACGGTACATAGTGTGGTACACATCTACAGAGTATGTAGTATGTAACACTGTTACACTGCTACACTGTAGCTAGTGAGTAATATAGCTCTAGGGTGAAGTCTAGCACAACTCCAAGCTCTGGTCAACGCAGCGTAACTGGCTCAATAACTACATTCTGCACACAATACCACTTATAAAAGCACAAGACCAGCTTCA